AAGTGAAGTCCCTGGGAGTTGCCAATGCTTGTTGAAGCTTCAGAGCCACGGTCTTATGCCCATAGAGTATCACTTCTTCAGTTACTTACATCTACTGTAGAGTTCTTAACATATATTGCACAGCTTTAATTTTCAATATTAAAAGCCATTCCTGAAAAATTATATATGTCAATTTGATCTGCAATGAAACAGATTTGTGTGGCTGGAAGGAATAGGTGGCCCTATCTGACCAGTGATTATCTTAGCAACTTGCAGGACCTCTGCAAAACCTGCATTTTCCTTGGGCAAAATTATGAGCAAAAATAGTAAGATAATGCACAAAACCAGCAGTCTCTGAAACTTCACAAATATTAAAAGTAAGATAAGTATAGACTTATGACTGACATTAATGACATATTAGTGACATTATGAATAATTACATGAGTAGGGAAGTTTGTAAATTAAACCCATAAAACTACAGAGAGGGTCTTCTATTTGGCTTTTTGGTCCCAAAAGGGATTTCAAAATAATTAAAGTTCAATTGACCTTTACTAGGTAGAGGGTCCTGTTTCGTTTCAGAGAGAGAAAGTTTGTACATGTATGTATGTATAGATGCACATGTGTGAGTATATGTGTTTGGATGGAAATCATAGGATAATATGAGGTCTTATTTTGTGAGGAATTTTCCACCTCATTTTTTTTTAGACAGGGATTCTTACTAAGCCTGGAGCTTGCAAAATAGATCAGAGTAATTGACTAGCAAGTTCTAGTCGGTCACCTGCCTCTGCCTCTCTAGAACTGGGATTATAGGAGCATGTCATTACATATAAAAGTTCCACAAATGGAATTCATGTGCCTAGAAAGTCTTCTATCAACTGAGCTACCTCCCCACATTTTAATAGATTTTTGGTTCATTTTGCTTTTAAGCAGAGTGAAAATGTCAGCCTTTGGTTTATTTGTTGGAAAAGGATATGACATTTTATTAAGCAATATGTTAAATTAATTTGTGCATGTCTCAGGATTCTCTACTGGAAAGGAGTCATCACAGAGAATTTTCTTACACACAGGTTTTACTAGTTTGTCTTACATTATATAGGCCATGTAGTCAGTCCCTTAATATCAATGTTAACTATCATTACACTCATTATGGGCTTAAGGTTTCTGTTGTATCCACTAATGTTATTTGAAAAATACATTACTGTAGGAACACACTTAATTTCAGTTTAAATTTATTAATTAGAAAAAAGTTATGATCTCTATGTGACCAACTGTATATGCTTCATTGTGTGTCACTACAGAAATTGATTGTCAAATAGAAATTCATCTTTAGTAGCAGGGTATGGTCTATACTTGACACAGTGAAACTTCTATTTCTTGTCTATTTATCAGCGAATGAGAGAAACTACGTTCTACCCCAGGTTATGCTTTTTATATATTAATATAAAACTGGTCTTTTGTACTTTTTTCTTTATTTTATTTATAGGAGTGAGATTTCCTGGTCTCACAAGCTCTCTCCTAGTTCATATTTTCCAGATCTTTTTATCATTTGCATTGTTCTCTACTGAAGGCTGAGCAATTTGTCTCCTTTCTGAACTGTGGCACTCAGCTGAACTTAGCCTGCAAATTGCAACCTAACAAGATATGACTGTAGCTCAATCCATTTTTATGCATGACATCACCATTACAATTCAACACATTGTAGCATTTGAATATTTTAAAAGGGATCAGAATGTCGACTCATTCAATTTATCACCCACTGTAACTCCTGAATTTTTCTCTCTGCTGCCATCATCTCCAGCTCCTGACTGCAGTTTTTGTTTCCATTATCCTCCTTGTGCACTGACGTTCACATCTGTCCTATTTTCCTGATTCTAATGTATCTGATTTGCCCATCTGCCCAATGTGTCAAGATGCTGAACAGTGCTGCAGCAGTCCCGAAGATCTGTGAACCCCACTTCGTCTCAACTCATTGTTCTTTGTGTTTTCAGCATAAATAAGCATCTTCCAACATGTTTCACGTATTATTTATGTGGCTTCTAGTGCTTTGAGCTTAGATAATTTCTTGTAAATCACTCTTTTTAAAGTTTCAGTTAGAAAATCAAGCAGAGGGAGGGGTGGGGGATGGAACGGAGAAAGCTGACTAAGCAAAGCAAGCTTGCTAGTTCCTTTATTGTTAATTTAAGAAAGATAAATTTAGTACCAACTATCAACGATCCTTTCTAGCGTTGGTCTACTATTAAGCTGTCGTATGAAAAATTGAGATGAAGCCTCTGATTTTCACATACAGTACCTCAGTGGGTATCATGATTCTTTGCTTCAGTAGACTACTGGTGTGCATACCACAGAGTTGGTTAAGCAAATCTAAGCAGAGTAGGTTCTACTTTGCAAGACTGCATATCCCAACACAGTTTTAAGCAAAGCAGAGTCCATAAAAGCAATGAAGAAAGCAACGAAAGAATCATAAAATGTTTGGCATGAATTTAATCACTTTATGCCCTTGAATAAAGGCAGAACTATCAAAACCAAAATGAGCTGGCAAATTATGCATAAGCTTTCATTTATAAGGGAATTATGGGAGTAATAGATTACAAAATCTTGTGAGTGAAAAACACTATATTTATTAAACTAGTTAGCACCCTCCATGCGGGTGCCTCTTAGAATCCCATCCTCCTACTGCTGCGCCTAGTCCATAGTCTTACTCATTTCCAGTGTGGGGCTGGGGGGAGCAGAAAACTTCTTCCAAACAGGAATCTCTTTCTTTGCCATGGACTCCCTGATTCTTCTGGTCACATTTTTTTTCTCAAAAAAATTAAACTATAATCTCATTAAACACCACGGTCACACTATATTGTTATTAGAACTAGGCATTATTAATTTTGGGATCACCTCTTCTATTTGCTTTTCCAGCTACAAGCTGATACAATAACTTCCTTAATAAGAGTTTGTGAGGAAAATGAATTATTTTAAAATTAGGGCCTTTTAATAATTATGCTTTTTAAACGTAGATGCTAAGTCTGTATGCTCTTCTGGAAATTATGAACCAAATATTAATAAAATGGAAATGGTATGAAAATATGTATACATTAATAAGTTATATGAATGATTAAGAACAATTAGCAGCTCTAGGAAAGGGCATGTGTTTATAGTCAATAAATAAATGTATCAAAAGGAAACAATGCAAAATTAAAGAATAAGGAAGGAGAGATTATCCTTTGTAACTATTACTATCATTCATCTTTTTTTCATATATACATACATGACACATATATGCATATATGATTCTCACATACACATCTATGACACATATGCATATATGATTCTCACATACACATATACGATGCATATATGTATATACAATTCTCATGTATACATATATGATGCATATGTATGTAAGATTCTCATATATACATGCATGACACATATATACATACATGATACATACTCTTACTTTACATTTTATATTATGGGTAAGCATTTTGTTTTCTAATTGCAAGTGGCAGCATCGAGAGAGCTGGTGAAGCAGACTTACAGTGTGTCCAGTTCTATTATAGAGTTTTCAGAAAACTTAGCACAAAGGGTAATTTGTGCTAACATCAGTAAAATACAAAAAAAAGACAACACATTAGTTCTAAGAAAACACAGATGACATTTAACCATTGACTTAAATACATGATAGATCAGTTGACAGCCGACAGTGTTAAAATATTTCCCTCCTTAACTCAAAACAGGACAGCAAGAATTCATTTAAAGGGCAAGGGGGAAACTGTTGTAGAAAGTGAGAAATATTAAAAAATTACTGAACATTACAGTGAAACTTTTTTGCCAGAGACCTTTCCTTCAGATAGGTTTGCTATTCTTTGATTTGGACTCAGTAAGATATTAAATTTAAACGTTAAATGATTACTGGAATGATTATCACTTTTCCCCAAAGCAAGTAATAGTGCCCATAGTTCTATGTGTTTATCTGTGAGGTCAGCACCTATATCAGAATCAAGTCTCTAGTGACACACAGAACATCATTCTGTAAATGATAATAACATTTTGTTAATGTAAAACATCATATGTAAATTGCCTTGTAGCTCCTTTTCCCTTCCCATTAGATTGTGGACAATCATGAAAACCAGAAAGCAGAGAAAATTGAACCCAGCCAAAGTAAATACATCCATATATATATATATATATATGTATATATATATATATATGTGGATGTATTTATATATATATAATATTTATTTATAATATATATAAATATTATATATATTTATATATATATAATAATGGATGTATTTATATATATAATATTTATATATAATATGTATTTATATATATATTATATATATATAATCAGAATAAATAAGACTCCTATAAATACAAAGAGTGTCTTTACATCTGTAAGATGTGTGTGTAATCTATAAATATATAGCTATATCTGTAACTCTCATTAAAATACGGCATTTATTACAATGCTGTTTTTAAATGATTAAATGATTTTAGTTATCCACTTTTATATTAAAATTATGCCTCATAATATTCTAAGATAAGATACAAGTGCAAGGTCACTGTCAAGAGGCAGGCAACGAGCAAAGGACTTGCTTATCACCTTTTTGTTTTCAGTTTTTCATTTGAAAATTTGTTCTGCTACTTTGTTGATAATATATGCTGGTTACTTTGAATAAATGTTTCAACCTTTATGAAAACCTTGAAGAGTTTAAATTTTATTTAATTGTTTTTCTTATAAGAAAGTTACTAGACTTAATACAAGGCGATGCCTCAATATATGAGAAATGAGAACCTAGACAAGGTAAGTTAGCCTTTCCTGGGATGAGAGAGGGTTAGCTTCCAGGCTGCCACCTTACACACAGGGGAGCTGAGACAACAATCTAAGGGTACATTTCTCTTGTCTTGCTTTTCTCAAGTTGATGAGAAGAGTGTGCCCACCTAGATCTGAGACCTCATTGAATGCTGCCACAAGTACAGGATGTGGATTAGATGCTACCAGGACAGGATGCACTCTGACTCACCTGTTCCTGTTGCTGGAAATCCAGTCGGAAATCAGTGTGGATGCCTGCTGGTGGCAGTGTTTGTTCCCGAAGCTGCATGCCAGCATGATCACTTCTCTCCGCAGTTCCCTACACGTTGTTGGAAGGGGGACAAATTAAAAGAAATGTCAATCTGAAGAAAGTCAGAGAAATTCATTTCGGGGTAGATGGACAGGTGATGAAATTGTTGCAGACAGACAGATGACAGAAACAAGAGAGAGACAGATACACAGAGTGCTATCTTAGATATGATGGGTAATCTCCACTGTCAACCTGCCTGGATTTAGAATTACCACGGAGGTATATCTGTGAATATATCTTCTGCACCAGAGATACTTTGCTGAAGAAGCAAGACCCCTTGTGACTATACACAGCGCCATCCCATTAGCAGGGTTCTAGACCTTATTCAGGGAAACGGAAGATGCCAGTAGAATTTATCTATCTCTCTTCGCTTCTGAATTGTGGACACAATATGATCATCCACCTTTCTCTTAATCTGTCATACACTGTGTCACATGGAATGTATTCTGGTAAACCAAGAATCAAAATAAACTCTAGTGTTAAAGAGAACTGATACACAAACGAACTTACAGGGGCTGTTACAATGTTTATAAGACCTGCACAGGTTCAAGACATAGAAAATCTCAGCACTGAGAAGAGAAAGTGAACACCAAATTTTACCCCAACCATAGAGCTTTTATTATTGCTACCTCAAGGGAAGGAAAACTCAATTTTCTACAGTCCAGTGTCACTGTGTAAATACCTCATACTCCAGGACAGACCCCATGCCCAGTTATAGTGAACCATGACCAAACTGATTCCATGTTTTTTTGATTTATGGCTTTTTGTTGTTGTTGTTTTATTTGTGGCTTTTTACTTTCCTTTTTCTTTCTTTTTTTATTTTTTGTCTTATTGATTTCTGTTTGCCTATTTATCATTTTGTTTTATTTCAGCTTCTTATACACAGAAGAGAAAGAACTTGAAGTTCGGTGGGTAGTGAAGTGGGGGAAGAATCAACGAGGAACTTGGGGAGGAGAAAACATGATCAAAATATGTGAAAATAAACTTCCTTTTCTTTATCAGGAATTTTGTTAAAGTATTGGGAAATGTAAATGAGATGGTAGATAAGTAAAATATAACATGAAAATAGATACAGAAATCCTATATTCCTGAGCAAAGAAAATGAATTAGACCGAATAAGAGTTATGCAGACTTTAGTCTTTCCTGGAGATAGTCCTTTAGTCAAGGGCATGGGTTCTGATCCCAAGATCACAACACAGTCAGATCTTAAATTAAAACACAGTCATGAACTGCTTTGTTTTCAAGATCAGGCAGCGAAACCTCTGATGCTCAGCTGCAGTCCTCCAAGGAAAGTGAAATGCAGAATGCGGAAAGAGAGAAAGGCAGTCCCATGCTGCTGCAGGCAGTGTTACTAGAAGGGCATTTTTGCACAGCTCTGGGGAAAGAGAACAATAGAATAAAACAGTACTCGTGTTGGTAGGACGCCTGAACGAGAGATCCATTGAAGTTATTTTTTGGCCATCCAAGCTTGATATACGTTGTTGCAACTTGTTTTAAAACATATTCCTACGTGGAGAAAGAAAACAAGATAATATTAGTTTCATCTTCCCAAATTTGGTAACTTGAAAATTAAATCCAGGTAATCCCTAACAGTGTTCTCTTATACCTTTATTCAGTTTCCTATTGAAGACATAGAAGACTGTACTCATTTCTTCCAATTGAATAATTTGTAGTGTTAAATATTTCACATGACAAATTTTAATACAGCAAAGGAAACTGGGATGATTCAGGCTGAGATTCATGCATACGTATATGTGACCATATGCAGCTACACATTAATAAACACCTAATGCACCTTTTAAGGTCTACTTTCATCTGTGTATAGGTGTGTATGCCTGTGTGAGCAGATGTGTACAGGCACCTGGGTGGGCCAGAAAAGGGTAATTGATCTGCTGTAGCTGGAGTTATAGGTGATTGTGAGCTGCCAAAAACAGGGGCTGGTGATTGAACAGGGCTCCTCTGGAAGAGCAGCAAACATTTTCACCCTCTGAGCCATTCTCTTCAGCTGAAATATCTAATATTTGGGCATTTTGCATCAATAGAGTATAGTCAGTGCAAAGCAATAGGCTACCATCATGAAAGAGAAGATGTGCATAATGCTTCCTCACTGTGATATAGTATCACAAATTCAAATATGTATTTAGCTAACGATGCATTTAAATATCAATACTGCTGTAAGATATGCTTCCCCACTTTAATGTAATCTTAGATATTTGTCTAAGGAATGAAAGTGCTAAAATTACAACAACAAGGATGTCTCTTAACTTTCACTGTAAGAGGAATCTAACGTGATATACTATTCAAAAGTATAAACATACACAAGAATGTATTTTGCCTTTTTAGGAGTTTTATAGTTCAGTATCTCTTTGTTAGGGAGAAAGGGAAGTAGAAGACTTTCTCCAGCAGACAAACATTATCCCCTAACTCAAATGACACATTTCCTTGCTTGTCTGTTGCTAAGGGCTTATGCAAAACTAACAACAATGGCTAGGCAAGCTATGATTATTCTCATTTTAAAAAAGTAAATTGACAGTCACTTTCGTGAAGCCTTGGGGTAAGGAAAAAGGAGGCAACTGTGATGAACATCAGACAACTTAGACGGCTCTAAAAACATCAAACCACCGACAATCCATCCTTGAATAATTTCCATTGTGTGTGTTCATTTGCAGAGTCATTATGTCATAAGGCACAGAACGATTTCATGAAAATGTAGTGCAGGTTCTTAAAATAGCTAAAGGAAACCGTATAGTGCACTCAAGCAACCAAGACAGGAAATTGAGGAATCAAAAGATCATTAGCTGTACTTAATCCTGGTATTATTCAAAATGATCATTGAATCCGATTAGGTGCTGTTGGCAGTACAATTTTGGTTTCCTGGGATTTGATCTTAAGAAATCTGGTCAGGTACCATTTTGGAATGAGTGTCATGCCTCCACGTCTGCCTGGATTATCTGTTGTTTGCTGCCCCGCATCCCCTTGGACCCAATTATGTATGGGCTTTGGCCTCAATGTTGCTCTGATCCTTGTTAAATAAGGAGGTGCATTGGATTCACCATGCCCTTTTGGATAAAAATAATGACTAAGATTCTTTACTGAAACTATCTATATTCTGTTAAGTTGTCTGGGATTCCTCTACTCAGGTTTAGTCCTTGGCGAACACAGAGGCTTTTAACTCTCAGGAAGTAAGTTTGAACTTTATGGATTTGCCATGTACGTTCTTCCTTAAATTCTCGAGCCCTTAAGCTTAATTGACACTTTTAGGCCAGAATAAAAGGTACCTTGTGTTAAATTTCTTTTTTTCAAATAACTGCCATCAGTATTGCATAGAAAATCAGGACAAAAATAACAGCCTAAAATTGCAGGAGGAAATGAAATAATTCAGACTCAGTTGCAAAGAGTGCATAATTAAAAAATAGTTTATCTTCTGAAAACTAGAAAGAAGAAATTATATATTTTTACGTTGAAGACATTGTAGTTCTCCATGCGGTCCAGTAATTTATCCAGAGGATAGAGAGCTCGGCTGGCAGCATGCCAAGGAAGAAAATCCTTCTCCTCAGACAGGTATCTGATAATCTCCAGGGGAATATTCTGAGGCAAATAGCCTGCCCTGCACAGTCAAAAGAAACTTAATGTTAATTAGATGCAGAAGAGCTACACAATGATGCAAAAATGAAGATTTTATTTATGCAAATAGAAGACAGAAAGCAAGATTCATCACAGTCTGAAGAAAGGACACACAGTGATATGAAAATAAAATTACCCACTTTTAAAAACAGTGCTCATAAGGATGCCAGAGTCACTTAATATATACAGAGGCAGAGAGTTAGAATTTTACAAGACTATGAACACATCAGGAAGTGGTTTTGTAAAGAAGAGAATCACGGAATTTGAATTGAGCCAATGGATATTTCTCTGACAGAAACTCCAGGAATAACAAGTAATTGAAAGTAATTAAACATTATCTTGTGGTTTTTGTAGTTCTGTGTAATGACTTTTAGCTCACATTGTTATCTAAAGTAGGACTAAATAAGCATCAATTCATGATTTAAATGTGTGTGCTATATAACAATATAAACATTTTTGATTGGATGCATTGTGTATGTGTGTGTCTTAGTTAGGGTTTCTATTGCTGCAATGAACTACCATGACCAAAAAGCAAGGTGGGGAAGAAAGGGTTTATTTGGCTTACACATCAACATTGCTGTTCATCACTGAAGGAAGACAGGACAGGAACTCAAACAGGGCAGGAGGCAGTAGCTGATGCATGTTTTGGAGGGGTCTTGCTTACTGGCTTGCTTCCCATGGTTTGCTCATCCCACTTCTATAGAACCTAGAACTACCAGCTCAGAAATGGCACCACCCACCCCCACCATGGACTGGGTGCTCCCCCATTTTTACACTAAATGAAAAAAATGCCTTACAACTGAATCTCATCTATGTAGGAGGTTGGCTCAGTGTAACAGTACCAGTCATGAGTTACCTCCTACTGAGTGGGATGTCAGTACAATTAGGCAGGGTAACCAATATTTGCCAACCTCCTGCATAGATGACACAGACATGACATGTCTTATGAAGAATATGATTCCTATAAAAATGATAACAAATGACATTATAGAAACAAACATGCAAGGGAGGAGGGATTTACATCTGATTCTACTATGAATGCTCCCTGTAAAAATTAGGTAAAGAATTTCCATATTTTTGTCTTTAAAAAAGTTAAACCAAGAAACAGCATTCTTGGCACAAGAGTTTAATTCTAATCTATATATCTACAATTTAAACTTCGAAAAACAATTGTAAGTTTGAAAACTTGAAAAAAAAAGTTTTCAAAAAAGTTCACATATTTCATTCTTCAATTGCTAACATATGCAAGTCTAAGAAGCAAGACTCAGATCTAGGTATTTAAAGACATCTGGCATTCTGTAACAGAGGAATAAAAGTGAGGCTCGGGCGGTATAAGTCCCACGTAACACTAAGGAAAGGAAAGCAATCATTACATACAGAAATAGAGCAAGCTCTGTTCCGAGGCCTGTGGCAGAAATTGCTACCACGCACCAAAGCCTGGGCTTTCTGTTTCTTCCTTAGACACATCACAAATCTAATTCCCCATGGTGAGCACAGCCACGTGACTAAGATCTAACAACAGAATATGAATGTGAGTGGCTGCCGGTTAATGTGATTTTATACATACAAAATAATCCACCTGGAACCTGGAGAACGGCATGGCAAATCCACTAGACTATCCCACCTATTACGCCAGTCGAAAATAAATGCCATTTTATTCAATCCACAAACATATCTGGATTTATTGTTTTAAGCAGTTAACCTTCTCTGATGCAGTTTTCAAAGAGAATATACGAAACAGATTACGCTCAAATTACCCTCATTCTGCCTTACTACCAACATATGTGAGTAATTACCTCCTACATAATTCAACATACTTGCATTTAAGTCTACTAGACCAAAATATGTAGCTTCCCTTAATTGGCCAATGGAATGATCAGCTTCATTACAAAATGATGGATAGTAAGAGATAATGTTGGTTACCTAGTTAAGATGTGTTTGGGTAATGGGCTGGTAATGATGTTGGTGATTACTACTACTGATAATAAAATCAATATGGGAAGAGTGTGGATGCCAGTAAGTAGAGCATCACATTAGCCTGTGCAAGGGTCCTGATGCTGAAATGCACTTTCCTTTAATTCACATCACTAGGGCAAATGTTGCTAGCAACATGGAAGACTAGCATGTTTTCAGAATATTTCACAAGCAATTGTGTTCACTAATGTCTGAAGAAAATGTTATATCTGATATCAAGCCCCTCGACTACTGTGCTGAGGGTGGACTTAAGAAATCAGAGGCATGGCAATGGGGAGCATTAACCACAAAGCTTGTCCACAGGCACCATAGAGCAGCTTCCCCCACCCTCCATGGGCCCCACATCCTTCCCCCTTTCCCTCCTCCTTTTCCAATTTGCTAGAGCTTACAATGAAATATTTCTTTAGGCATACAAGACAGCATTTTTATAAGAAGGAGATTAAAACCAGACTATATTAATTGATCTTAAAATGCTCTGATCTTAACTAGTTATTTTCATTTAGGATACAGAACCTGATTTTACAAAACCGTTCTGAGTCCCTGGGATTGTTACCACATGGGTCTTCAATGATGGGGAGCTTTTATAAGAAATAAAAACTTTATTTTTCATTGTACATTTTCCTATAAAAATAATTGATTCATTCATACTATGAATCTAGGTGTTGGAAGGCAATATCATCAGAATATTCTGACAACATACACACACACACTTATTGCATAGTTGAAAAATCATTTAAAACTAAGAAATAGCCTACTACATATTTAATAATATATGAAAAAGACAAAAGACACTGCTCATGTCCTTTAGGCACAGAATATTAAAGCATGACTGAAATGCTTAATTGAAAAGATTTACTGGCTTTGATTTGCTTTCCTTTATTATTCATTATTAAATGACTTATATATGCTCTTTGTAGGAAGATCCTATAGCTCAAATAGAATCCCCAATAGCACTCAGAGCATAGAATAAAGGAGAAAAATCATGGGGGAAGTATTTCATTCAGCCAATTGCACAGTTTTTGAGGAGAAAGAATTATAAAATCTATGCTTTGCTGAGTTACTATCCTCAGAGATGGAAAAGGAAGTGACATGTGGAGCTTCATTGAATTCAGAAGAGAAGTGGTACAGCAAACCGTTCTTCCGGTCCTCCTCCTAATCTTACTCCTCAAGATAGCTGATCCCAAGTCTCATGTAGGAACCTATTTTCTGGGCTTCTGTAGCACCCACACCAGTGTTCATTACAATAAACATAAATAATTAGGATAGAATATGTCATCGCTTTATCATATTCTTTTCATTTCTTGGGTGCAGGTCCTTAAGAAATGCAAGTGTGTTTTCTGTGTCTCTTTAGCCCATATCTTATTGCAAAAACTGGCACTAAGCAGACACTCTATAAATACTCCCTAAATTATTCCAATAATATCATGTCATCAAAAAAGAGCCAAGTTATCTCAAACTTACACATTATCAAAATTTGCTCAAAAGTCAACATTTTCAAAGGGTAAATGGTTGAGCAAAGTGGGGAGATTGTAGTAGAGTACAGTATTAGCTCTATCCCTTTTATTACTGACACATATAGATGGTGAGCTCATTAATATCTAGTCAATGGCTTTGAATGCCCAAGTCTAAACATAACAAAATAGCTTCATAGACAATGAGAGGGCACAGCCATTAAGCGAACACCTCTGCCATTACTGGTTAGCAAACTACTCTCCTGAAAACAAGGTTATGCCAGAAACTTAAATGCTTTGCTGAAGCATGGAGAGACCTTTTCTTCATGGTCAGCAACTCAGCAAAGGTGGCCGACAATGTTCCACTGCTTTCTTCTTTAGGAAACATTTAATAATTTAAAATAAATCAATTAGAACTATTTTGGCAACATGCACATTCTCATCTCCACCATAGCAACGAGAATTATATCTTCACCCAGACTTCTTTATTCTCAAACATTATTTCATGTGATCAGCCATCATCTTAGTACAGAAGGTTCCATGGATGTCAAATATTGTTAGAAATAGGACTTATGTTTGACCATCAAGTGGAAAGGTTAATAGATATGAACTATTTGTCCCCACAGAAAGAAAAACATCTATTTTATGGAAAAACAAGTTTGTAGAAGACTATATTTTAAAAAGTGATGCTATTACACATTGATAACCCATTGTTTACCAGCTAGGATGTTATGGGAAAACTGTCAGTTTAAGAATAATGAAGTTACTGTCCAAGTTCACTACAGTTATGCACACTTACCATATAAAATGGCAGTTTACAAGAAATAATCATTGTGCCCATGTTACCTAGTTAAATACATTAGTTGGAAATCACTGTCAGAGTTTTTAAGGAAAACATTGTCAGGTGCCTCCACATGAAACTACCTCTCGATATTCCATTTTTAATTAAGTGTAACTCCTTCTTCCCCCTTATTCCATTTATTTGCACACTTCCACACTTACTTACATCTGCCTTGTTTGATTGAGGATAAAAAAAATACATCATTGAATATGAGCTGTTATAGAAGACATGTTAAAGCAGGCTAATGTTAGGGGCTTTTGTCCAAACTGTCCCAACTTGCACACATGTTTGAACGCTTGGTCATCAGTGGTGGCACTGTTTGAGAGGTCATGCCATCCTTCCATTGTATTTCAGAATGGGAGTAATGGGGCGTGGCAGGTGGGCCTTTAAATATTCTCCATGTTTCTGGATGTATCCTCTGTTTTCTGTCTCCTGGTCTGAGCCATGTGAATAGGTAATCATAAGTTCTTACCCCATCAATTGAGATGCTGATGCTACCACCATGACACCACTTTCCGGATGGAGAGAGAATCTCTGAAACCATAAGTCAAAGTGAATCCTTCCCCCTTAAGTCATTTACGATGGGTATTTCGGCCACAGAGACAAGACTAACACCTGCAATCAGACTCTATTTATCACTGAATGTGTATAAAATGTGTGAGGGTTCATGACAGAGAAAAACTTCTACAGCTCAAGGTTCCTTTCCACTCTGCCACC